AACATACACGTGCGACTAACCATAATATATAAAAAACACTACTAAATATATAAAATACTCATGTTTTTTTACCCATAATTAACATTTTGAGTTTCCTTAGATCTACAAAGATGATTCAATCAATGAACAAATTGATTTGGATGGAATTGAAGTTTGACTAGTTACTTTTAAATTAGAAATAATTAAAATTCACTCAAGTCAAACAACAGAGCTTAAAATTTTTCACATAGGATTACGAAGCGTGCGAGTCTGCTACTTAGGCTTAATACATTCGAATTCAAAAATTATATATAAAGGATGGGAAAAAGTTAATATATTTTAATAAGTTAAATGTGTTTAATGTCAGCTACCTTACTTCTTTTGCTATGTCACTTGTAGCCACTAGCCACCATTTTGGTAATAATTATCTACTATTAAACCAAGGCAATTTGGTCCCGTCGTTATTTTCCACGAACGAGCAGATTCAGCGGACTAATAAGCAGAAGTAAACAATACTATTTATATCGTGGACAAAGTGAATCTCAAATGTAGTAGATTTGCTCTTCATAGACTAATAAGACTTGCAAGTAGAAAAAGTGAGTTGAAAATCTAATTATACTTCTTTACAAACAACCATAACTATTGATTAACGTCTCTTAAACACTCTCTTATAATAGCATCTATAATGGCACAAAATTCTTTTTGAGGCCTATGATTGCAAATAGAAAAAGTGACTTGAAAATCTAATTATACTTATCTTTTCATACAAGTATAACTATTGATTAACTTTTCTCTATAACACCCTTTTAATATAATTAACATCTGTAATGGTACAAAATCCATTTTGAGGCCTATGGTAGTGATATGGGATATTATATAGCTGAGGAATAGACCGGTTTGCATCATCGGTCGAGCAAGTTCAAAGTGGAGAAAACCGGATTGGTCGAAGGATGATCGACCAAAAGGAAAGAGATCGAGCAGAATAGCAGAACTGGTCGAGGATCGACCTAGTGGTGGGGGGCTCGACCAGATCGAGCACATAGCAGGTGAAGAGTAGTCGAGAGCGTGGCTTGAACGCAAGAAGGCGCGTGGATGGCGTTAGAAGATCCCAACGGCCTGCGCAGAAGAATAATCTCCCTCAGCTCAGAGGGACACGTGGCGACAATATATTGGTGCAGAGTGATAGTGGCGAAAGCCACCCCTGACATCTCTGACACACGCACACTATGTGTGTACGGACGGGCAGTACGGGTAGGACAGCTCACCAAAAGCCGGGCAGTTCCTAGGGCAGGTATCTCACTCATATATATATGAGAGTGGGTCTTTTTTTTAGGACTTACGATTTATCCATTCTTTACTTTTGGAAAATTGAACAAATACATACTGACTTAAGCATCGGAGGCTCTTCACCGGAAAACCCCTCCGGTGTGAGAGTTCTGTGTAGGTGCGCGGCGTTCTACCGGCAAGGAAGAGGAAGGCGGACCAATTTCAAGCCGGTCGGAGTGTTTTGCGTTACCAGGTAAATTTAAGAAATTGAATCTCAATAATTAACATGAAAGGTAATCATGAAGAAAGAGAGTGAGAAAAAAAAAAGAGGAGAATATAGGGTAATGGCGTAAAAGGATATAATGATTCTTATACTTTCTAATTTCTATACCACAATTTGGGATANATGTTGTTTTCAATGCAACGGCTAATTCGAACCTATTGGTGTGGCCACTTACATTAGCTCCAAGCAGTCGATCGGATCACACATACATACACATTGATTGATAATTAGGGTATAGTAGATAACTAATGTAGTGTATAATGGATAACAAGTTGTAATAACTAGTTTATTAGCGAATTTAAGTAGCGTTTTGTCAAATAACCATTCGGTAAATAGCCAAATTTTACAATTGTTTTATTGTCTTTTCTTTTTTTGTTAGTTCTCTTATATCTAAAATATTCTTCTTTGGAGATTTTTCAGAATTAGCACTTTTCATCCAAAAAAACTAATCAAATGAGCTTGTTACCAAACAAAATAATCAACAGATTTATTATACAAACCTCTAAATAAGAACCAACTCCCTAATATATACCCCTGTGGGGGCGCTTGTTCATTTGACTGCTCGAAACCCAACATACTTGTGAGGCCAGTATACATAAGTTTGAGTCTAGTGTAAATTAAGTGAATAAAGCCAATTAGATATGAACATATCTATGAGTTCGGAATAGTTGATATTTTATTAATTGTGCTTCTCTCTTAAGTATATTTTTGATTTGAATAATTATTTAATATTTCTTTAAGCCCATTTTATTTTGCAACACCTATATGAATATTTTGTTATCCACATTGGTAACGCAAAACACTCTTATCGGCTTGAAATCGGCTTGTCTCCCTCCTCCTCGCCCGTAGAACGCCGTGTACCTGCAAAGAACTCTCACACAGGGGGGTTTTTCCGGTGAAGAGCCTCCGATGCTTAAGTAAGTATGTGTTTCACTCAATTCTCCAAAGTAAGAATATGGATAAATCGTAAGTCATAAGAAAGGGCTCACTCCTATATATATAGGAGTGAGATACCTGCCCTAGGAGCTGCCCAGATTTGGTGAGCTGTCCTACCCGCACTGCCCGTTTGTACACACACAGTGTGCGTGTGTTAGAGGTGTCAGAGGTGGTTATCGCCACTATCGCTCTGCACCAATGTACTTTTGCCACATGTCCCTCTGAGCAGAGGGTGATTATTCTCCTGCATATTCCGTTGAGATTTTCTGACAAAGTCCACGCGCTCTCTCGCGTTTATGCCACGCCCTCGATTGCTCTTCACTCGCCGAGTGCTCGATATAACCGAGCCCCCTTTCGCTAGGTCGATCATCGATCATATCTGCTATCTTGCTCGATCACTTCCCTTTTGGCCGATTACTGCTCGACCAATACGATTTTCCCAACGTCAAGCTTCGCGCGATCAACATGGTAAACCGGTTTATTTTTTAGGCATATAATATCCCATATCACACATATTGATGAAAGCATAAATAAAAGTGTAATAAATAAAAATTAAAATCGTAAAGAAATATNAATTTTTTTATTATTGAAACAAACTTTACTTATTTTTTTATTCTCAAATCAAATTTTACTTTTCTAAAATTCATAAGTATTTTTAAAAAAACATGTACATCAATAAAGATCATTAAAAAAATATTCAATTATACTGCCTCGGACAAATTAAAATATAAAACAAAACAACAAAGCAAAACAAACATTTTAACTGTTAGTTAGACTTTTTCTACTCTTTTTTTCCATCAAGTTGATCAGTCCAGGGCAGGGGCGTAGCAAGAAATTTTTTTAACCCGGGGCTGCATATTATTGTAGCGATTATTGGAACCGAGTAGACATAGTCATGGGCTGGCCCGACCCGTACGGACACAAAGCGGCCTGTTGACCATGGTCTTGTACCGGCCCATGGTTTTGACCAGTCCGGTTCATGTTCAATACTTTATATTTTATACATTTTGAACTGGCGGTTTCGGTTCCGAATTAGAACCGGAACTGAAGGTTCGGCCTTTTTAAAAAAAAAAAATATTATTTTTTAATTATTTTTATATTTTTAATGAATCGGACGGACAAGAACTGACCTGTTCAATGAACTAGACCGTGGTTTTGACAAGTCCGGTTCATGTTCAGTACTTTATAGTTTATACTTTTTGAACCGGCAGTTTCGGCTCTGAACTGGAACCGGAATCGGAGGTTCGGCCTTTTTTTAAAAAAAAAATATTATTTTTTAATTATTTTTTATATTTTTAGTGAGCCGGATGGCCAAGAATCAAAGTTCAATGAACCATTCCGTGCATATGGTCCGGCCGATTCAAAGCCCTCCAACTCTCGGCCTGGGATCGGCGGCTTGACCCATAATCAGCTTTGGCCATGACTAGAACCAAATTATCTGTTAACATATTTCGGTTTGAATTGTGAAAAAACACAATCTCGACTCACTTATATATTTAAACAACCAAACTCAAATAGCTAATTGAACTTGTTGATCAAACAAATAGAGTCGAACATGTTTGCAATCAACTTTGTAATAGTTTTTCTTAGGAAATGAAGTCAACTTAATTATTGAAAGCGAAATCAACAAAAAACGAACAAAAATGGTAACAGACTGTGCAATGAAACGAGCTCAATTAAATAACTCGCAGGAGAAGTGTAAGTCAAGCTTAATTATCCAACTCATTTGGCACTTGTCAAGTCTGCTCATTAAAAATTTAAAAGACAAGAGTGTGCTGGGCTACATCATAAACTCAATTGGTAAAAATCTAGTAAGGTTACTATTGTCATTTGACAATAAAGGATTATCTTTTTTTTCTCTCACTATTATCATCACTTTTCTACCATTGTTGTAAAATAAACAAATTCGACCTGAATTTTGAGATATTCATCCGAAATTAAATAGAGCTACATTAAAAATTACATAGGCTATGTACAATTTTTTAAAAAAATTAAGTTAATAATCTTTTTTATTTTTTTTTTTTTGTACATGGGGCTGGAGCCCACCCTAGCCCAAAGGTGGCTCCGCCCCTGGTCCAAGGTGATTAATTTTCCTGGCTACGCCCTTATGTGAGACCACAACTAACATTCGTTTTCGACCGCTCGTTTTACACGCACACTTATACACCTATACAACAATGTGCTACGCCCTTATTGAGACCACAGCTAACATTCGCTTTCGATCGTTCGTTTTACACGCACACACTTATACACCTATACAGCTATGTGTTGATCTGATGACTCAGTCTGGAGATGACTCGGTTTGGAGGGGCAACGGTGGGGTGAAATTCAACTAAATGTGCCTTAACTACTTTTGATAATTATCAACAATAAAATCTCTTTCCACCAAAAGCTTGGCAAATAATAAAAACACTCCCTTGCATTATTACTAATTACAACAAAACACGATTCAACCAAACACAGCTTTAAGTCACTGGCACGCACGAGTCACGACCCAACACACACTTAATTTTATTTCATTCCAATTAATTATTATTTATATATTATCAATTAGGAGCTGCAGGTACTCGTCGTAGTACACCTGCTCCAACCCACCAACGTCGCCGGAGACCGACTCCGGCGGTTTCTGCAGCAGCGTCAGAAAGCACCCCGCCGCCGCCCCTCCGCCGAACCCCTCCTCCAGCTCGAGAATCGGTGCCCACGGTACGCACGACGCCACCTCCGCCGCCGCCCCGCTCGACCCGCCGCTCGCCAGGCTGTCGTAGCTGTTCGACCTCGAGAACGCCGGCGAGACCCTGATCGGTTTCGGCAGGTACACCTTCGTCCTCTCCCCATGCTCGCCGGCCTCTGCGTTTCGGGCCGGTCCGGCTTCCGCGTTTCGGGCCGGGCCGGCTTCCGCCTTCCTCTGTTTCTTCTTCCTCTTCCTCTTCTCCTTCTTGCCGCCGTCGTCGTTGTCGTCGGGGGGACTCCGGGCCGGGTCGGGGTGGGATTTGGGCCGGATCCCGGCGGTTTGGAGCTTCTTGAGGAGATGGGTGTTCCAGTAGTTTTTGATCTCATTGTCGGTTCGACCTGGCAGGCGGCCCGCAATCAAGGACCACCGGTTGCCGAGGAGGCCGTGGAGGCGCACGATAAGGTCCTCCTCGTCCTCGCTGATGTTTCCCCTCTTTATCCCCGGCCGGAGGTAGTTCATCCACCGGAGCCGGCAGCTCTTCCCGCACCTCAAAAGCCCTGCAATTTTTTTTTTAATTTTTTTGGGGCCGCTAATTTTAATCGCTGGGCTCAATCAATCATTAGTAGGCTAAAATGCGAAAAGGTTGAAAAAAAAAAATTACCAGCTTTTTTGGGGAGAGATCGCCATTGGCCCTCGCCATTTTGGAGGATGAAGTTGGAGAGGAGATTATCTTCTTTGGTAGACCATGGCCCTCTCCTCAACCCTACTTTTGAGCAGCAAGGGGATCTTCCCATTTCTTTTGGCTTGGAGATATTTTGATTTTTTATTTTTTTTTCCTCNTGTTATCACAAGGTGGTCTAATTGAAAACACGGAGAGAGAGAGAGAGAGAGAGAGAGAGAGAGAGAGAGAGAGAGAGTTGAGGGGATTGGGCACAATGGCAGCCACAGAGAAGATGGCATTAGGCTGCCTTTTATAGGCCATCACATTCACATGTCACAGCAGACTTATTTTTACTATTCACAAGTACAGAAAAGATCTTGTCCTTATCTTCGCTAGACGCCTTGAAACGTGAAAAATAAAATAAGATGTGGCAATTAAATTATGAGTAAATTGGACATAATTCTCCAGTCCCTTTCTCATCTTTTAAATAAATTCTATGGAGTCATCGGATGATTTTTTTATGTAGTCATCCACCACTTAATATATTAACACTTGTCTAGATTGTATATATTGCAGGACATGTGTCAGTACACTATTGATTAATAAATGCAGATGACTCCATAAGTCGAGTCATCCAATGGCTCCATAGCAAAGTTGAATATGATTATTATTCATTTACTTTGCTTGAAAATCATAAAAAAATTGGAAAACTCTCTTAATTCTTGTCTCTCTCTCTCTCTCTCTTATCGCCGCCGTTCTTCTCTCTCTCTCTCTCTCTCAATTAGCCGTTCGTCTCTCTCTCTCTAAGAAGCTTGCCCTCTGTCTCTGGCCATCGTACACAATGATGGACTCGAAAAAAAAATACACATCCGACAAATCGTCTTCCTCTACCTCCAAAACCTTAAACAAGGTAAGATTTTTAGAATTTCAATTTTTGGGTTTTTTATTCAAAAATTTTGATTTTTTTTCTTGAATTCGAAATTTTCAGAATTTGGGATTTGGTTGATTATAATGAATTTCAAAGTTGACTTATATTTCACCAATTACGAATTTTATTGATAAATTAGGGCTTTGCGTGTCTAGGGTACATCATTTTTTTAGTTTAGTATCTTTTTGAATTAGGGTTCTTTATGAATTAAGGTTTTGTATGAATATGTCATGAATGATGTTTTGGTACATTTGTTGCGTTTTTACTGTTGTTGTATAGTATCTGAGTACTTTCGTGTAGACGACTTCATCCGGATGTTTAGTCTCCTTGTGTTCAGTTGTATTTTATTCCCATGTTCGAGTTATTCTATTTCGAGGTTTGTTTACCATTACTAAGAGGATTTTAGTCGAATTTTTGAGTATGCATGGGGAGATGCTACTCATAAATTATTGGTTGGCGAGCTAGTTCGCCATACAAAATCGAGAGACCGATCCTATTTTGATGGATGTGCAGTTGGATAGATGGTATATATGTCTATATTTGGTTCAACGTCTTAATACAATAATATTAAAAATATGAAATTGTGTAATTTTTAAATCATGTGTATGTGTAGGCTTGGTTGTACGAGCGTGTGCCTTCTTTGGGCAAGAGGTCGACGCTCGAGGCAATTCCCCATCACCATGACCGATCCAATTACTATAGAGCCAGCGTTATTTCGAGGCAGCCTGCTCTTGCTCGGGTGCCTTGAGTGCTGCAGATGGTGTTCGTGATGCTGGCGATTTTTGTGTACCTTTTTTTTCTTTTTTTTGGGGGTTTAGAAAAGGTTCCTATCAGTTAGAGAGCCGGCTCATGAATGCATTAGACATCAAATAGAGGATGGAATAAAGCTCACTTCACTACGTCAAGCCGATCTCCCGTTGTTGTGAAATCGCCCCGGGGAACTGACTAAACATGCTAATCCATTAGTTGACGCTCGAAGTTTGCCCTGTCTCGAAGGAGGCCGAGGGGGAAGATAAGTACTTCAGAAGAGTTCGTCGGTAGGGCAGATTTCAATGGACGGGGAGCACGTTGCCGTCTACATTAGAAGGGTGTTTGCAGTCCCTTGAGAAAATAACTAGGCATAATGTAATTTAGATAGATTTATTATATTATGTGTTTTCTTTTTCTTCTTTTTATTTTTTTTGGTTAATCTATATTGTACTTAAGTCATTATGATTTGCTTTACAGGTGTATTTGACATCTTCCGTGTTTGACGAGCGTATGTTTGTTGAAACTCAGGTTTTCCTTTAATTGGTCGAGAATTTATGTTTCAGCATTAATATATTTTCATAGGTACAGGTATCTTTAATTTTTGTTTTTTCTTTCATGTACAGGGAACGTTTGAGAACTGTTTGTTTGACATGGTTTGTCATGAGAACGATGAACTTCGAAACAAATTCAAGTGTTGGAGTCAGAGTAGAAAGAAAAGAAGAATGAAGAAAAACAAAAAGAGGAAAGAAGTGAGAATGAGGGTGCTGATGGTTTTGAGACTGAGGAAAAAGAGGAGGAGGAACAATCGGAGAAGGGAAAAGAGGACGAGGAAAAAAAGGAGAAAAAAATGAGAAAAGATGGGCTCTGATGGTGATTGAAAATGAAGAAGCTGTTGTGAATGAGTTTGAAGATTTGGACCAATTGGTGGACCTGGTAGTGGAGTCTGCTGGTTTGAGGGGAGGGCTGGAGACAAAAGGGTTGTCGGATGAGCCGAACTCTTAGCACAGTGCTCAGAGCTCATGCCGACAACCAGAGGAGGAGATAGAAGAAAGAAAAGAAAATTGCAGTTGGTGACCATGATTGATGATAGGGTAATTAAACTAGCAATTTTATTTCTGTAATTTATGTGATTGTTCATGTTGTTTTTATATAACTAACCAATTATTTTGTAATGTAGGAGAATGACAAGAGTGACGTCGACGATTGTTCTTTGAATGAGTATAGGGGAAGAGAAGATTTTTGTGGTCATGTGGTTGTGCAGGAAGAGGATGGTGTAACCATCCGATCATTCCAGCAAGTGACCACCTGAGGTAATAGAAATTATTTCAGTTTCTTAATTGTTTCATTTCTGTTATATTATACTAATTAGAATTGCAAATTTTGGTAGCAAAACTGTGTGGAGCAATGATAGAATATTGATCCGAGGGATATCAATATGTATATAAAAAGGTTTGGCATTTACTAGATATAGTAGGTAAAAATCTAAAAATCATTTACCAATTTACTATTTATCATGGTTCTGAAAACTGGACCGGACCGGCCGATTCAACCGGTTGGACTGGGTACCGGCCTTCATTCCAATCCGGTTTGAGCCATCAAACCGCCATGCATTAGAACCGGTCAAGAACCGTTCAAACCGGTCCAAAACTTGTTGAATCGGTGAACCGGGACCGTTTCGAATGATTTACCGGTTAAAGGTTATGAATTTGAAATTGGTTGATTGTGAAAGGATTTAAATAGCACGTTTTTTTTTTACTTGTGTTTCCTATGTGGGATATGTTTCTTTGCTGAAATTATTGGGTCAACATTGGGCCTAACAAGCAAATTGTACTCGTTAAAAAAAAATGTATTTTTTTTAACTGGACTATCTATTGACTTAATATCTATTCTCAATTTATTTTATTTTTTTTAAAAAAGCAATTTATTGCTGTTTGTTATGCACATTATTTTTATTTTTTATCAATAATCAAAAATTAAAATGTGATTTAAAATAAAAATTGGGTTGTTTCTGTTCTCTCTAATTTGTAATTTAAATATAGATTAAAATTTTAAATATAAAAATAAAATTAAAAAAAAAGTTAACAACATTATTCAACATTGTCGGTTGTATCTATTATTGATTTATTATTTAGAATAATGTCATACACTATAAAATAATGATAAAAATATATATAATTATATATTATACATATAAAATAAATAAAAAAATTATATGTTAATTAAACTGGTTCGACCGCTGGTCCGACCAGTGAACCATTGAACCAGTAGCTTCACCGGTTCGATGACCAATTCGGTTTTAGAACCATGATTCTTATCTCGTATAGCTGCTTGGTAATGGAAGTGTGTAAGTTGATTTTCTCTCTGGGATACAATTAGACATGAGAAAGATGAGAAGTCACATGACTAACCTGTGTATTAACATATCTGTTACTCTGTATGTTCTATGTATATTTTGTATCAGTGTTGGAATTTATACATTATGTAATTAGGTCTTTTTAATTTTAAGATAATAAAATTTATTGGAATCTTGTTGTGTGAATTTCTAAAATTTGGTGTTGGTTGGTTGATATAATGTTATTATAGTGTGTGTAATTGCTTAAAACATAATAATGTAGACAACGTGTTCGATGAAATTCTAAAGAGAATAACTTAGTAGAAATTTGACAATTAACATTCGAAAAAAGAAATAAGATATTTAATTTTAATTTCTAGGCCCCGCCTAGGTGCTCTAGTCGCTAGATGCTGGTCGGGCGCCCAACGACTTCTAGAATACTGAGTATTCTTCATTATGTGATTTAATAGTAGTTGTCAATATTTATTATATTATTTTTTTTTAAATTTTATTTGTGTATTGCGATTTTTATAGGGTGGCCACATATCTGGACTAATTCATGACATTAATATTCCAAGCATGGGTGACAAGTTTGAAGAGGGTGGAGCATATGTCATTCGGAATAACCAATTAGAAAGTAACATTGGTAAATAAATATCTACCACTACAAACTTCAAACTCATTATTCATGGGAAGACCAAAGTGTTAGAGCATCCTACTGAATTCCCAACGTGTTATTTTGACTTCTTTCATTTTGCTACCCCAAGATGTTGACAATGTAGATTTTTTAAAGCAAATGGTTGTGTTTTCAATTTTCTTTTACAAAATGTAGACATACATGTGGTTGTGTTGTATTATAATTTTATATGTGTTATGTTGTTATCATATATCCCATCATCTAATATTAAACTCATTACTGAATATTGCTTCCCATACATCGCACAAGTTATATCTACTCAAATTTCTATATAAATATTTTACCTTTGATTTTTCAGTTAGAATATAGTAAATTTCCTTGTAGTGGACATATTTTATCACATTTGTAAACGTTGTATGCGCTAGTTGTGATGAAAAAAGTAAATATAATTTATTTTATGAATAAAAAAGATGTCCGCCCATTAATGAATTAATTGTGTAGCTGGGGCTTAAGTTAATTTATTGTTTATGTGTGTTCACATTTTCTTTTTTAACTCTTATGATGGCTGCAGCAAGTCTTATTCAAATA